AAAAATGAGAGAGATCAAAGAGAATGAAGCTGCACAACAACCCAGTACTCTGTGCCACAGCTACTTCCAGCCACCTGATTGCGAGAAAATCGCGGAAAATGCCGAAACCACCTTCCTTTTTTGGTAGTTTGAGCGTCCTGGATGCCACAGCTGGGCCACAATCGCCCTGATGTTGAGTCGATTTAAATACATTGAGCAGCAATAAAATATCTGAAAAACTGTAAATATAATTAGAACATCAGCCCCAGAAAGTGTACAAAAGTTTTGAGGTAAGAGGAATACTCAGAAGGTTTGAACTGTGAAGTGCACTGTAAACCTGAGTTTGAAAGCGTTTAGTGGCTTGAACTTGTCTGCACTTCTTCGGCTTCTCCTTCTTCTCAGCCACCATGTCCTCACCTTCACCTCCTTTTCCCTTTGAGAGTACTGAGAGCCGGTCTAATAGCACCTCGCCTTGGGCTTGTGACTGTGCACTCCAGGAAATTAGGGAATTGGGGCTCTCAAGGTCCTGGACTGGCTATTGAGGTGTAGCTGTGGTCTTCAGCCCAGCATCCTTGATTCTCCTTCCCTCCCCTCCTCTCTCTTTCTCTCTCAACACTTCAATATCATCCTCAAGCATCTAATTCAAGTATATTTCGAGTTTCTGAGCTCTTTAGAGCCTCAGAATTGGCTAGAATGTTCAGATAAGCTTGTGTGCCTGAAAACCAACATGACTATCTCCTCCTCTCCTCCACCTCTCCCCCTCTCTCTACCATCCAAATTCATATCTAACATCTCATTCCTATCCATATACTTCATTTCTAGAAAGTTTGGTTCAATTTGGACCATGGGTTGGCCCTGGGCAGCAAAATGGCATGTGGCCCATCCTACCCCCTTCCAATTTCGCTTTTTTCTCTTTTCTGGAGATGATGCAGAGTTCTCTGATGGATTGGAAAGGACCTGATAGGTGAGTACTAATGTTTCTAGCTTTAATTTCGCTTCTGAGAGCCCCAGAAGTTGTGTTACAGGTCCATGTTGGTGCCACATCACCCCTACCCTCCCTCACCTCCTACCCATCCATCCAGCCCTTCCACTAACCCAAACAACTTTTGTGCAATCATTCCCAGACTCCCTCTATACTATCCAGCTGTCCTCATCCCTCTTCCTCCACTGGTTCACTTACAATAGCCTACTGCCCCGCCAGCCTCCTAAGCCCAACACCCAGCCCAGCTCTTCCTAGCCCTCTGGCTCGGGTTTTTTGTGTTTGGAAAGTATCTATGGACCTATATTAGTTTGGTCATGGTGAGATTTCGCTTATTTATCCATTCATTCCTTTTCTATGGCCACCCTCTCCTCCTACCCCTTCCCACCTCCTCCTATCCCTCTAAAGTAGCAGGAACCTTTGATCCTGCTCTCTTTTCTATCTGTATACTTCCCTAGCCTATCTGTCTATATGAAAGATCCCTCCCTGTCCCTATTCCTGTACTGTAGAGTTTTCTAGAGCCTGTATTTTGTAATTAGAGTAAAAATGCGAAATATATTCGAGTTCTACCCTGTAGTTTTCCTGGTGTGATCAGAGGTTGTATGAGTAAGGTATAGGTATATGAAGCTCAACAGCTCATATCTGAGATGGTCCAGCTGCAAAAACAAGTGCAGGACCTGGGGGAAAGTAGGGCCACACTTGGGCCACAAAATACGAAAAAATCGAGATAAATTAGTACAGGCTATAGATTAGGGTCTAATAAAATTCTATTTAGTAGATTTATACTGTAGGTACATGTACTATATACATAGTCAGGTCAGAACTGATAATATGCTGAGGGAGGAGGGAGGGTAGGGCTGAGCTACAAGGGCTAGTGCCATAGGCCAAGGCCGAACAGGAAACCCAAGTCTAGGGCAAGAAAAGCTGAAAAGGCAAGCCCATTAATAATAAATGATAGGCAAGCATCCAGATTAGGAGAAGCCCAGATCATCAGACAGGTCCAACGGCTTCCCTGGCTGAGTAAGCAGAAGAAGCAAGGAAGCACTGCCAGGTAACAACGGAGGGACTCCGCTGGAATTACAATGTGATGGACGGGACTTCTGGCTTCACATTGTAATGCCCCTGCACGTTCTGGTGGCTCGACCACAGATTTCGACGAGAGCTGGTCATGAATTCTCTAGAGCTCATCGTCATCAAGAACATGACCAAACTCTTCAGAAAGGCCATCCGTGGACCGTGATGAAGACGAAGATGATGACGAACTTGGTACATACAAGCTTGAAGAGCTGCTGGATTCCGACAGCGAGGGTGAGGGAGCACGAGAGGTGGGAAGGGAGAGACCGCCGATCCGATTGACGAGTCGAGCGATGTGAGCGACGTCGATGTCGTCAATGTCAGAATCATTGTCTTCTCCGTCGTCTTCATCTTCTTCTTTCGGCTCTTTGATCTCTTCTAGCCCCGGTACAGGTAAACCCGCACCTTCCCCTTCCTCATCTGAGCTAGATATCGCACCAGAAAAGTGAGACGGTCCAGCGTGGACGGAACTTTCGCAACTAAAGTGGCACGTATGTTTGTTCTGGATATCTTCAATAGACGTAGGAAAGTCTGTGTCATTGTACTGATCACGAGAACCAAAAAAATCACCCATCCAAACATCTGTGTCCTCCATCTCAACGTCTGGCCCTGGCCGAGGCACATATCCAAACTCTTCTTGGGCCATAAGTGCACAACGTTGGTCCTTGGAGTTCCAAAGGTGGCGAGTAAGGTCAGAGTCGCGCTTGAAAGTCTTCGCACAACCGCGACAAGTAGACATGATATCTTTTAGACGTGTTTATGTGAGTTTAATACTAGTCAAAATCTCGAAGAAAATGACCCCAGAATTGTATGACTTACGAGGATGATGTGGTCAACACGGTATCGAGGACTTTGGAGTGCGGAAAGCAGATGGTGGCGTGACGAATGTGGCGAGCGAGATGAGTGTTGTGTGCTGCTGTGGTGGTTGGGACGGATGACGGTACAGAGCCGGTGAAAGGTGGTTTCTAGAATATCACACATAGCCTCCATGCCATTGCAGACTCACCGGGTCATGCTCTTTTTGAGATAAACTGACTGGCGTCATCGATGGACACCAATAGATATCTGAACATCCGCTCAAAATCCAGCCGATGTCTGCTCCATTGGCGAGCTCAGTCCTGCTCAGTCCTGTTGCATGAGGTCGAGATTGGATATTGGTCAGTTTCAGCCTGCTGAGCACATCAACAAGTGTCAGATACTCACCAGAAGAACGGTACAGTTGACAGTTGCCTGAACGCCACATTGCATAAAACAGAGACAGCGAATAAAATTCTGAGAAATATTGCAAATTTAGACATAGGTACAGGGCACGAAATAGGAGGTGCGGACCTGAAGGTATATTGAATCATTGCAGTCCACCGTGCAGTAGCCTAATTGGACAGTAAGGGGCAAATGTTTTGCCCCACTCACATTAGCCCATCTGTGGGCTTTGGGCCACAGTGGCACCGGCTTCTATCCTATAGCAGTTGTAGACAAAATACTTAGTAGCCTGCCGAGTTGGACACTGGCTGGTGAGTCTGACAGCGACCCAGCACTTAGAGGATAACGGAGAGCGTGAAGATAGAGAGAGAAAGAGTGACAGAAAGGGAGACACGTTGGAGGCGCTTCCTACGGCTGAGTTTGAAATTGAGCGCCAGCGTGCCGGCACTTATCACGAAAGGCGACGCACGTCATCGCTCCTCGCTTGCTTGCTCCCGACCATCATCAACCTCCGACAGTTGCCTCGCGCTCTCACTCTTCACGCACCCATGGCCTCAAGATATAAAAAGGAACCCGTAAGACCCCTCAACTTCTCATTCAGTCGCTTCATACCCTCGCTTGCGTTGATCGCAGCACCTTGACTTTCTCAATCCTTTCGTACTCTCTCCTTGCTTCATTATCTCTCTATACCTGCCTTGCGTCTACAGCTCTCCCCTGTTTCATCCCAAACTCCTTCTCCCTTCACATTTCAACAATATGGCCGGTTCCAGCATCAAAGTGTCTAAGACCAATGCCATCACCACAGATTTAGAGGGTTAATTGGGATTATTCACTCATGGCTTGGCATACGGGCTAATATTTGTGTTCATTTCTGCCTCTCCAGCTCCAGCCAGTGTGCGGGCCTCCAAAGCGACTGCCTCCAAAGGTGTGGATGTCCTTCCTATGTAGATTCTTCCAAGGTTGATCTCCCTCTTCCAACAGTGTGGGAGTCTCTTGCGAAGAAGGCCAAGAAGACACTCACTGTAGGTAACAAAGCCACGAAGAAGTCTTCGACCAAGGCTGCTCCTGGATCAAAGCGCAAGCCGCAGTCTGACGAGGAGGATGTACCCACTAAGAAAGCAAAGTGTACCAGTATCTGTATGTTCCATATCTCCCCACACACTCCATAAACCTCATCAACTAATCTTGTCTTCTCTGTAGTCTCAAAAGCCTCCCTTGCATCCTTGAAAAGTAGGTACTATTGTGTTTATGTACTTGCACTCGTCTGATGTGTTGTAGGAGGTCGTCGCACGGTTCCCAACCTGACCAACTCTGAGAGCGAAAGCGACTTGCGTATGTCCATCCAGTTCTGCTTCACGTTCCTCGGTTTGACTCACTCTTTTTTGCATGCAGCTTCTCGTGTCTCCACTTGCACTCCTTTGACCAAAAAGGGAAAGGTCCGCATTGTTGTTTCTTGTGATATTTTTTTGCGCTGACAATTTCTTTGCAAGGCCAAGGCTCTACCTGAAGATGATTCCAGTGCTGGTTCATCAGATGAGTTTGAGCCATCCGATGAGTCGGACGAAGACGAAGACGATGAGGACCACGACAAAGATGACGACAACAAAGGTGGTGAGGTCGTTCTCGACGACGCTGCGGCACGGCTCAACCGAAAACAGAGCCGCAAGGCTGCCAAGGAGAAAGCCATCAAAAAGGCCATTATTGCGGGCACATTTGTACGTCTATCCTTATGTTACCCCTCAGATACTCTTTCTGATCTCCAGTAATACCCATAGGACGTGAGGTGGCCCGAAGACAAGGAGAACATCCCACCTGCTGAGTCGGCAGTCCGATCACACTGCCTCAGTACCACCAGCATGCTGGTACACCTTTTTTCTTGTTTTTGTCTACTCGATGACTGACAGTTAATCCTCACAGTCCATCGAGGTCGTGACCAATCTCGAGGACGACAATGAGCCCCTTGTCGCCTCTGCAGCTCCACCCCTGCCTCTGCCTCCTCTACCTCCTTCGTCAGTCCCAATTGGTTCCACTAAGTTCCCACCATGCCAGGCGTAGCTGTACCGCCTTTATAAAGAGTCCCTGTAGTAAGCCTGGCACTCTTTGCAAAGAGCCCAGTACCTTAATAAGCCTGTGCTAATAAGGGCTCTTTATTAAAGAGCAATGCTGCTGGTGGCTATTATGGTCGGAAAAATGGGCGAAAAAATAGGCAAAAAATGCGTGAAAAAATGGGGGGATGGGTGTGGGGTGGCCCCGGGGTAGGGGGGGTGGTTTGGGGATGGGTAGGGGGTAGGGCAGGGGGTAGGATAGGGAAGGAAAATGGGTGGTAATTGTGCACTAGGGCTAGGATAGCTGTATGCAGGGTATGGGGAGGATGTATGGGGCTAGGCATGGGCTCTGGGGCTAGGGCAGATAGATGGGTGAATAGGGATAGAATGATGGGCGATACAAATACGGAAAAATACGGAAATAATAGCAGGGATGCTAGGATTGGTATACTGGGTACTGTGGGGGTGGATTGGTAGGGGAAATGGGGTGATCTGGGGGTGTTTTGGTAACTTTGTGAGTTTTGTGATTCAGAGTGAATGAATTGCAGGGGTAGGTGTTGTTTGATGGAATTAGCTGATAAAAGGGTAAAATGTGGCCCAAAGTTGGCGACATGAAGGATGACGTTTTCGGCGGTTCTTTGGCTTTTGATAAATAAGTATAAATGTATGTGATAGAC